CTGCGGCGTCGGCGCGGGCGCCGCGAGGCGCGGCGGGCTCGCGACGGACGCGGGCCCGATGGCGCGGCCGCTGGCGACGCTCCTCCGCGACGCCTACGCCGACGAGGAGGCCGGGCCCGAGGCCTTCCGCGACGGCAAGGTCGTCGACGAGGCGACGGTCGCGGCCATGCTCGCCGACGGCGAACTCCATTGGACGACGCTCGAGGCCGCGAACGGCCGCGACGCGGACGAGGACGGCGCGCTGCTCGGCGCGGCCTGCGTCTCCTTCGTCGGCGCCCGCGCGGAGCTGCGCTTCTTCGCGGTCCGGCCGCGCTACCGCGGGCTCTGCGTCGGCCAGCGGCTGTTGGCGCGCGTCGAGCGCCTCGCGGCCGCCGCGGGCGCGAAGCAGCTCGTCGCCTGCGTCCCCTCGCCGCGGGCGAGCGTCGCCGCCTGGGCCGAGCGCCGCGGCTTCGCGTGCGTGGCCGAGGCGCCCTTCCCGGCGGCGTCGCTGCCCTTTGCGATCACGCGCGTGGACGCGAAGCTCCGCGTCTTCGCGAAGCCCCTCGGGGCGCCGAAGCCGCCGCCGCCGCCGGGCCCGCCGAAGAACACGCGCCTCCCGGAGATCGGCGAGGGCAGCGACGACGACGGCGGCGACGACCTCGGCTACGGCGAGATGGACTAGCGGGGTAACGGTGAAGGTCAAGCTCCGTAAAAATTCTTTTTCGGGCTGCCCGGCGACCGATCGCATGCGCCGCGAGCTCCGCTACTCGCGCTGCGCGACGACCATGGTCGAGCTCCCGCCGCCGCCGCCGCCGCCGGACGACGCGCCGAAGGGCGTGTCCTGGGCGCCCCACGTGCGCAGCCCGCCGCTCTTCCGCCGGCGCAAGGCGTCGGGCGTCCCGCCGCGGCCGCCGCCGCCGCCGCGGCGCCGCGGCGGCGGCGGCGCGTGCTGCCGGCCGGCGACGGTGGGGCTCGGCGTGTCCGCGGCGCTCTACGTGGTCGTCTTCGTCGCGCTCCTGTCCAAGGACCCGTCCTACGACGGCGGCACCATGGAGGTCGCGGTCCTCGGGTCCATGGGCAGCGGCACCGTCGCGACGTCGCGCAGGCTCCGCGCCCTGGGCCTCGACGTCACGCACGAGACGACGGCGGGCGCCGACGGCGTCGTCTCCTGGCTCCACGCGCTGCTCTACCTGCCGCCGCTCGCAAAGAACGCGACGGACCCGCTCTGCGCGGGCCCGCTCCGCAACGCGTGGCACCCGCAGCTCGTCTTCGCGGAGACCCGGCGCGCCTGCGGCGAGGAGCGGGCGGCGACCGTGCGCGGCGGCGCGGGCCGCCGGGCGGCGGCCTGCTGGCGCGACGCGTGCCCGCGCCGCGCGCCGCGCTGGCGCGGCTGCGCGGCGGCGAGCGCCTGCCCCGTGCGCTTCGCGGCGAAGCCCGTCGTCCTCGTGCGCCACCCGCTGCGCACGGTCGAGTCGCTCGTCGCCGGCTTCTGCCGCGGCGACGCGCGCTTCGCCGCCGACTCCGCCGGCGAGCCGCCGAACCAGCTCAAGGCCGCCGCGCGGCTGCTCGCCGGCCTCGACGAGGCGGCGCTCGGCCGCGAGTCCTGCGCCCTGGGCTTCGCGCGCTACTGGCGCGCCTACTACGCCGCCCTCGAGCCGCTCGTCGCCGCGGGCGCGGCCTTGGTCCGCGCGGAGGACGACGACTACGCGTGCGCGATCGTCGCCGCCGTCGCCGCGCGCGCGCCGCCGGCGCCGCGGCTCGACCGCGCGGCGGCGGCCTGCGGGAGCGACGGCGCGATGCGCCTCGCGCGGACCTGGGTCCACCGGCTCCGCGGCGCGTTCGAGGCCGCGGGCGAGGACGGGCCGCTGCGCGACCACGAGAACCGGCGCAACGGCGGCGGCGTCCGCGCGACGTGGCGCGCCATCGGCGACGCGGACCGGGACCTCGCCGTCGACATGCTCCGCCTCGCGAAGGCCTTCGGCTACGTCGCCGCGGCGGACAAGTCGGCGGACGGCGTCGGGTAAACGTATGGGGAAGTGAAAACACGCCGCTCGCCGATCTTGTGGCTATAGAAGTACGAGGTCGGCCTCTCACTCGGCCCATCCACGTCGTCCGAAACGTTGATCGCCGCCATGTCGACGCTGCCTGAGCCGCTCGTCATGGGCGTCGGCGCCTTCGCCGGCTGCATCAGCGCCGGCATTTTGGCTTCGACCTTCGTCTACGTGCTCCTCTACCTGATCATGTACCGCGTGGCGCCCGTCGAAACGCGGCGTCGAACGAGCGCGCGCGCCGGGCTTCGCGCGCGCAGACGGTTCCCGCGCGCAGGTCATGGCGCTCTACGTCGGCTACTCGCTGCTCACGGAGCCCGTCGCGTTCTGTGACTACTTTGGCCTCGCGGACGCGGCGACGGCGTCGCCGATCGTCTTCGACGTCGTCGGCGCGCTCGTCGTCGCCTACGGCGTCGGCAGCGTCGCCGTCGCCAAGACGGGCTGCTACAAGACCATGTTCATGTTCACGGGCGCCTGCGCCGCCGCCGCCGGCGCCGTCGCCTACAACGGCAACGCGCCGGCGGCGTCGGCCCCCATGATCCAGAAGTACGCGGCCACCGTCGGCGTCCTCGCCGCCATGCACCTCTCGACGCCCATGGTCAGCAAGCAGCTCGGCAAGCGCAACCCCAAGTACACGGGCTACGCGTAGGGCGCGCGCGCGCGCGGCACCGGCTCGGACTGTCTTTTTCTCGTCGCCGAGCGCTGGTTAGGCGGGCGCGGGGAAGGTGGCGTGCACGGGGAGGTGGCCGCCGGGGCGGCGGGGGTCGGGGTACGGGGTGTCAATGGCGGGCCTCAGAGGATCTTGTAGCCGCGCGTGCGCTTCGCGACGGGCGCGTCCGCCGTCGACTGGCCCGCGCGCTGCGCCTTGGCCCGGGCGATGCGCTCGTCCTTGATCTTGCGCGCGCGCGCGTCGAGGGACGAGGCGACGGCCTTGACGGCGCGCTTCGGCGACGACGCGACGGCCTTGACCGCGCGGACGACCGGCGAGTTCTCCTTGAGCGGCGACCGCCTGCGGCGCGGCGCGGATTTCGGGGGAAAAAAACAAACGACGGGGCGCCGGTGAACGCGCGGCGACTGGCCCTTCTTGTGGGACTTGGCCGGGGACTTGGGCGCCGCGCGCGCGGGCGACCGCGGCGCGGCCTGCGCGCGGAGCGCGTCGAGCGCGGCCGTCGCCTCGCGCGCGCCGGGCACGGGCACGTCGGCGTAGATGGGCACGTCGGCCCGCGCCTCGAGGGCCCGCTCGGCGGCGGCCGCGCGGTCCTCGGCGGCCTTGGCGCGCGCCGTCGCGGCCGCGGCCGCGTCCGCGTCGACCTGCGCCTGCTTGGCCATCGACGCCTCGCGGCCCTCGGCGGCGGCCGCGCGGCCGTCGGCGGCGGCGACGGCGGCGTCGCAGGCCGCCCGCGCCTCGGCCTCGCGCTGCGCCGCGCCGGCGACGGCGGCGTCGCGCTCGCCGATGACCTCCGCGAGCCGCGCGACCTCGGTCTCGTCGCGCGCCGCGAGCTCGTCGCGCGCGGACGCCGCGGCCTCGCGCGCGGCCTCGAGCTCGCCGCTGAGCGCGCCGCGCGCCTCGCGCGCCGCGGCGACGTCGCGCTCGAGCTGCTCGACCCGGGCGAGGGCCGCGTCGTGGTCCGCGCGCGGCACGCGCGCCGCGTCGTCGTCCGCGGCGTCGCCCTCCATGGCGCCGCCGCCCGCGGCGCGGCGCCGCTCCGCGTCGAGCAGGGCCCGGAGCTTGGCGCACTCGTCGTCCTTCTCCGCGCGGACGCGCTCGAGCTCCTCCTCCGTCTCCTGGAACTGCATCTCGAGGTCGACGACGTAGTTCTCGAGCTCGTCCTTGCGCTGCTCCTTCCGCGCGGACTTGCAGAGGTCCCGCATGGCCTTGGGCGGCGCGTCCTCGTCCATGGCGTCGTCGTCGTCGTCGTCCTCGGCGACGCCCTCCATGGCGTCGTCGTCGCCGCCGCCGCCGCCGCGCGCGCCCGGGCGCGGGCCCGCGACCGACGACCGCCGCGCGAGGCGCGCCGCGTAGTCCTGCTGGATGCGCGCGATGGTCTCGCCCATCTCCTCGGCGCACTCGTCGCGGACCTCGCGCTCGACGACGGACACGCGCTCGTGGGCCAGGGCCAGCGCCTCCTTGAGCGCCGCGACCTCGAGCGCGAGCGCGTCGCCGTCGGCCGACGCGCTCGCGCCCGCGTCGTCGAAGGTGACGTCCGACGCCTGGGACCGCGAGCACTCCGACGCCTGGGACTCGCTCCGGAGCAGCTCCGCGGGCTTGTCCGTGCGCCGCTTCTTCTCGGACGGCGCGGGCGCCGCCGCGCCGACGACGCGGCGGCCGTTCTTGTCGTAGGTCGCGAAGCCCCGCGCCGCCGCCGCCCGCGGGTCCGCCGCGGAGCGCACGATGGCGACGGCCTTGGCCTGGGCCGCGTTGGACATGACGTACGTCGACTCGTTGTGGTCGCCCGCCGACGGGCTCACGTTGACGATCATGGACACGCGCGCGACGAGGCCGCCGTTCGGCGGCGCGAGGAGGTACTGGAAGAGGTGCGTGAGCTTGGAGTCGCGCCAGGGCACGACCTCGCGGCCCTGGGACCCCGACGCCTGCTTCTCGCGGACGACGCGGAGGCAGTTCATGAGCCGCATGATGGACTGGTTGATGTGGTTCGCCTCCTTCTGCTGGGCGCCGGACGCCGCGGCGCCCGTGCGGTCGATGCGCTCGCTGCCCGCGAGGTCGACGAGCATGAGCACGGGGCCGGCCTTGCCCGCGGCGTCGACGACGGTGAGCTGGCAGATGCTGTGGCTCCGGCTGCTCGTCTTGTTGAGGCCCGTGGAGCTCGTCTTGCGCTGGGCCTGGGCGGCCTTGGCCAGGGCCAGGCCGTGGGCCGCCGTCGCGACCCGGACGGCGCTCAGGCTGGCCACCTCCATGCGCGTCGACAGGTCCTTGACGCGGAGCGCGCGCCGCTTGCCCGTCTGCGCCGCGGCCTTGTCCATGAGGTCGTAGACGTTCTCGTTGTAGATCTCCATGAAGCTGAGCTTCACCTCGCCGCCGAGGGCCTCGGCCCTCTCGAGGATGAGGTTCAGCGCGCGCGGCATGAGGCCCCGCGCGGCCTCGTCCTCGGGGTCGCCCATCATCGTGTACGACTTGCCCGCGTTCGTCACGCCGTAGGTGAAGAGCAGCGCGCTCCGCCCGGCGAAGAGCGCGTCGACGAGGGGCGCCGTCGTCGCCTCGTAGACGTCCGCCTGCGTCGCCGCGTCGTCGAAGACCCGCGTGAACGTGTAGTCGCGCGCCTCGCGCCGCACGTGGTTCGACGCGTGGCGCGCGGACTGGGCCGGCGGCGCGGACCGCACGGTCTTCGCGTCCGTCACCTCGACGACGCCGCCCATCTCGCCCTTGCCCAGGGGGCGCAGGCGGCAGAAGACCGCGAGCGACTCTTCCGGCTTCGCGCGCGGCGGCGGCGGCGGCATGACCGCGGCGCCCGGGGGCGGCGGCGGCGCGACCGCGGCGCTCTCGAACTCCGCGTTCAGCACCTTCACGGGCACCGCGTGGTCCTCGTCGAAGGACTCGCGGCCCTCGACGGCCGACGACAGGTCGCCGGCGCGCACGACGCTGTTGGGGCCGACGCTCGGCGGCGGCGCGGCGGCGCCCGGGGGCACGACCGCCGCGTACGAGCCCCGGCGCGTCGGCATGGGGTCGCGAAGGGGGTCTGCGGCTCGCGGGGGCGGCGCGCAGGCGGCCAAAGTCGACGCCGTTGGCTGGGTGCTCGAGCAACGACGTTTTCGTTTCGAGGCCGCAGCGAGCCGACGCGCCTAGGAGTCACCACAGGCGTCGTCAGTGTGTTTGCCGCTGTCACCGTCGCCGTCGCACGCAGTGTAGCACGCACGCGCGCCGTCGTCGTCGCAGACACACCACCGTCGTCGCAGACACACGCCACCGTCGTCGCAGCGTGCGCATCGATGCCGCTGCCCGAGCCGACGGGCCCGCACCGCGTCGGCGTCATCGAGGCCGACGTCGCGGCGCCGACGGAGGCCGGCGTCGTGCCCTGCGTCATCTACTACCCGGCGGGCGCCTCGACGGCGGAGCCGTCCTACTTTAGCAGCGAGCCGACGCTGCAGTGGCTCGACGCGCGGTACGCGGGCGCGCTCGGCCGGTGCCACCTCGCGGAGACGCTGGGCCCGTACACGGCCGAGGTCTTCATGAACGCGCTCGGCCCGTCGGCGACGGGCTACGAGCGCGTGCGCGGCGCCGTGGGCGCGCCGGCGCTCCCGGCGCCGGCGGGCGGCTGGCCGACGGCCGTCTTCTCGCACAGCATGACGGGCTGGCGCCACGTGAACAGCGCGTTCATGAGCGAGATCGCGAGCCGCGGCGCCGTGGCGATCCACGTCGAGCACTGCGACGGGTCCGCGTGCCTCGCGACGGCCGTCGGCGACGGCCGCGTGCTCGCCGAGTACGTCTCCTGGCAGGACAAGGAGGCCGAGCTCCGCGCCGCGCACGGCGACGAGAAGGACGCGTGGGCCGCGGCCCTCGCCTGGCGCCACGGCCAGTGCGCGACGCGCGTCGCGGAGACGCTCGCGGCGCTCGACGGCGTCGACGGCGCGCTGCTGGCCGCGGGCGTGCTGCCCTCGGACGTCGACATCACGCGGGGGCGCTTCTCGCGGACGTCGTCGGGCGTCGCGGCGCTGGGCCAGTCCTTCGGCGGCGCGTCGGCGGCGGCCTGCGTGGCGCGGGACGACCGGGGCCGCTTCTCGCACTGCCTTTTGTACGACCCGTGGCTCGACGGCGACGGCTCCGACCGCCACCCGCTGCCCGACGGCGACTACGCCGCGGCCCCGCTGGCGGCGCTCGCGAACCTGTCCATCTGGCGCAACGGCCAGAGCCAGCTCCTGGCGACGTGCTCCAAGAACTGCGACGCGCTCGTCGCCCGGGCCGGCGCCGCGGGCCGCGTCCACGACTACGCGGACGCGGGCCACTTCGCGCAGACCGACGCGCCCGTCGTCTTCGAGCAGGGGCCCCTGAGCTTCGTCTACGACGCGCTCCGCGGCAAGGACGGCGCCATGGACTCGGCGACGGCCCTCCGGCGCTGCACGGAGGAGTCCGTCGCCGCGCTCGCGTCCTTTTTTTCCGCGGAGAGTGGCTAAAAAAATTCTGGTGTTACCGCGCCTTGCGCGCGTGGGCGATGGTGCGCGAGCTGAGGTGGGCGACGGCGCCGAGCACCAGCCCGAGGATGCCGAGGAAGACCATCGCGCCCGTCGCCGCCGCGACCGCGGGCCGGTCGCCGCCGTCCGCGCCCGCGTGCAGGTAGTAGGCCCGCCAGAGGAAGCCCAGCCCCACGAAGAGCAGCAGGAGGCGCGCGAGGTAGGCCTGGCTCTTCTTCCGGAGCGTCTTCTTCCGCTTGCCCGGCAGGTAGCCCTTGATGCTCAGCGCCGTGAAGAGCACGAGGCCGCCCGCGTGCGCGCAGCCGCGCGCGCACGAGTCGACGGCGGCCTGCGCGGCCGCGTTGTCGTCCGTCTGCTGCGCCGCGCTGAGGCCGCAGACGACGAGGAGGAAGCCGTAGGCGAAGAGCAGACTCGCGCCCTGCTCCGCGCTCTGGGACGCGGCCTTGTGGGCCTTCTCCGCCGACGACTCGTAGCGCTGGAACGGATGCTCGTCGAGCGCGGACATTGGTTTTTTTGTGGTCGCGTGGCGAGTTTGCGCAAGCGCTGGTCGCTTGGCGCGGCCGCGCGGCGGCGGCGTGCGGCGGCAAGCGCCTCCGCAAAGCGAGCTGTGGCAGGATTGCGCGGGGCGCGGTCCGCATGCGGTGGGGGGGTGCGGTGGACGAGGTGCTGAAAGGGGTCGAGTCCCCGGGCAATTGCAGCGTCCACATGCTCCGAATATCAAGGCGAAGAAGCCCCAATTTTCCACGCCTGAGAATTTTCAGCTCTTTTACGAGCAGCTGCGTTTCATGACGCTGGTCACCATCGGCGGCGGGCTCGTCGACAGTGGTCGAGTTGCTCGTGGAACTTTTCAGCAGCCTGAGGCCCATGGCCGTGTGGAACTGGAGGCCGAGCCAGGTGACTATGGTGCCCGCGATCCGCTTCTCTGGGGTCGCGGTTATGAGCCCGAACTCGATGACGATGAGGTGCCAGCAGCGGAGAAGGCGGACCAGTCGATCCGCGCCGACGGCTTGGAACAGCGGGTCACGGTCGTCGGTAGGCTGTCGGTGTACATTTCGACGCTGTAGCGGCGTCGCTGGGCCCGCGACGCCGTAGGAGCCTCGTAGGGTTCCATCAAACGAGCTGGCTGATGGGCACATCGAGACTGTGATGGCGCGCATCGACTTCGGGTACACCGTGACGGTCGGCGGCGACTATTATACGAAGGAGGGCACGCTCAGGCTCATCTTCCGCGACCGTGACCTGCCGCGGCGTTGACTGTCGGACCGTTCTACGAGATGCGTCTTCGCGGACGTCGCCGCCTTTGCCGGCCTCGAAGCTCGTCTCGTTGCGCGGGAGTGCGACCTCGGGGCGCGTGGGCCTCGACAGGCGCCCAGATTGCGTCCGCACCTCTATCGGGGGCTGCTTGTGAGCCTCTTGTGGCCTGGCCGGATGAGGACTCGGATGGGTTGAAGATCTCGTCCTTGCTGCTTGACGTTCGAGAGACGGCGACGATGTCGATGCCATCACTGCGCGTCGCGGTCGCGGTCTGCCTGGCCGCGGTCTGCGCGACCGCCCGGCGCGCGCCGTCGGCGCTCGCGTCGCGCCCCGCGCCGCTCGGTGCCTTCCCGCGGTGGCTGGGCGTCGCGCGCGGCGGGTCGACGTCGACGAAGCGCAAGAAGAGCAAGAAGGGCAAGAAGAAGGTCGTCGTCGAGGCGGCGGCGGACGAGGAGGAGGAGGAGTTCGAGGAGGCGGCGGCGGCGCCCGCGGGCGAGGCGCGCGCGGCGGCGCCGGACTTTGCGCCGCGCGAGTTCGCGCTCGGCTCCGGGTCCGTGAGCGTCGACGGCGACCTCGACGCGTCGACGGTCCTCGTGTCCGCGGCGCTCATGGCCGAGCTCGGCGTCAAGGCCGGCGACGTCGTGCGCGTCCACGGCGCGCGGCGGTCCGCGACCGTGGCGCGCGTGGCGGCCGCGCCCGTGACCGCGGCGAGCGACGTCGTCGCGTCGGCGGCCGTCGCGGAGAACGGCGCGCTCCTCGCGGCGACCGCGGCGCTCCACGGCGTCCAGCTCGTCGCCGCGGGCACGGTCGTCGTCGCCCCCGAGCGGAGCTCGCTCCCCCCGTCGCTCCGCGACGACGTCGGCGCGGACGACGAATCCGCCGACGCGCTGATCTTCGACGAGTGCCTCGCGCCGTACTTCGCCGGCGCGGACCGGCCCGTCAAGCTCGGCGACACCTTCGCGGCGCCCCTGGAGCTCGACGGCGAGGCCTGGGACGTCGCGTGGCGCGTCGCGAGCCTGGGCCTCGACCACGAGGGCCGGCCGCTCGCCGAGGCCGTCGTCGGCGCGTCGAGCGCGCTCGTCGCCGAGGCGCCCTACGACGCCGAGGTCGCGGGCGCGGCGCTGCCGAGCTACGGCGACGTCGGCGGCTGCGCGTCCCACATCGACCAGCTCAAGGAGGTCCTCGAGATGCCCCTCCACTCGCCGGGCCTCTTCCGCGGCGTCGGCGTGAACCCGCCGCGCGGCGCGCTGCTCCACGGGCCGCCGGGCTGCGGCAAGACCACGCTCCTCCGCGCGGCGGCCTACGAGTGCGGCTGCAACGTCGAGGTGCTCAACGGCGGCGACGTCGCCGCGAAGAAGCCCGGCGAGGCCGAGGAGGTGCTCCGCGCGAAATTCGCGGCCGCGGAGAAAGGCGGCGCGCCCGCGTCCCGCCGTTCTTTTTTCGACCCACGCGTGGATGACGACCCACCGCGACGCCGAACCTTCCTGTGGCCCGCAAACTTTAATCTTTGAGAGCCGACACGCGCGCGCTTCGCGACGCGCGACGCCCGAGCCGCGGACCCGCCGCTCACGTCTTTTTCCCCGCAGCCGCGCCGTCCGTGATCATGATCGACGAGATCGAGTGCATCGCGCAGAAGCGCGACAAGGCCGACAGCGAGCAGGACAAGCGCATCTGCGCGCAGCTCCTCACGCTCATGGACGGCCTGAAGCCCGCGTCCGGCGTCGTCGTGCTCGCGGCGACGGGCAAGCCCAACGACCTCGACCCGGCCCTGCGGCGCTTCGGGCGCCTCGACCGCGAGGTCGCCCTCGAGGTGCCCGACGAGGCCGCGCGGCGCGAGATCCTCGCCGTGAAGACGCGGGGCATGAGCCTCGCCGGCGACGTCGACCTCGACGACGTCGCGCGCGACTGCCACGGCTTCGTCGGCGCCGACGTCGCCCAGCTCTGCACGGAGGCGGCCCTACTCTGCGTGCGCGAGGCGCTGAGGAACGCTGGTGAGGACGTCGAGGCCGCGGGCCTCCTCGAGGGCGAGCTCCAGGAGGCGACGTGGGCCAAGCTCGCCGCGGACCTCGAATTGGACCCGGCGGCCCTCGAGGTCACCAAGGCCCACTTCGCGAAAGCGCTCAAGACCTGCAACCCGAGCTCGCTGCGCGAGTCCGTCGTCGAGGTGCCCGACGTGTCGTGGGCCGACGTCGGCGGCCTCGAGGACGTGAAGCGCGAGCTCAAGGAGACGGTCGAGTACCCCGTGCAGTTCGCCGACGAGTACGCCAAGTTCGGCATGCCCCCGTCCAAGGGCGTCCTCTTCTACGGCCCGCCGGGCTGCGGCAAGACCTTGATCGCCAAGGCCGTCGCGAACGAGTGCGGCGCGAACTTCATCTCCGTCAAGGGCCCCGAGCTCCTCACCATGTGGTTCGGCGAGTCCGAGGCGAACGTGCGGAGCCTCTTCGACAAGGCGCGCGCCGCCGCGCCCTGCATCCTCTTCTTCGACGAGATGGACTCCATCGCGAAGGCGCGGTCCGGCTCCGCGGGCGGCTCCGAGGCGGGCGACCGCGTCATGAACCAGATCCTCGCGGAGATCGACGGCGTCGGCACGAAGAACGTCTTCGTCATCGGCGCGACGAACCGGCCCGACATCCTCGACCCCGCGGTGACGCGGCCGGGCCGCCTCGACCAGCTCATCCACATCCCGCTGCCCGATCGCGACTCGCGCTACAACGTCTTCAAGGCGTCGCTGCGCAAGGCGCCCCTGGACCCGGCCGTGGACCTCGACAAGCTCGCGGACTTTACGGTGGGCTTCTCCGGCGCCGACATCTCGGAGATCTGCCAGCGCGCGGCGAAGAACGCCGTCAAGGACGCCGTCGCGCGCGAGGCGCGCGGCGAGTCGCCCGAGCCCTACATCTCCAGGGCCTGCTTCGAGGAGGCCGTGTCCCGCGCCCGCAAGTCCATCCCCCAGTCCGAGATCGACCGCTACGACGCCTTCTCCGCCGCGATGAAGACGTCCGCGAAGAAGTCCGCGTCGCAAAAGTTCTCCTTCGAGGACGGCGGCTGGGTCGACGCGGCGGAGGCCCCGGCCTCCTCCGCGGCCGTCGCACCGGCGGAGGCCCCGAGCTCCTAGGACCAAGACCCCGCGCCCCTAACAGAGGAGCCGACTCCAGATAGCTTACAGCTCCTCGACGGCCGTCTCCTCGCCGATGGGCTCCGCGGGGAAGTCCGCGGGGTCCACGGCGTCGAGCCGCGCGCCGCTCTTCCGCGCCTCGCGGTCCTTGTCGAAGATGAGCGCCTGGATCGCGGCGGACTCCTCCGTGGACATCTTGCGCGTCGAGGACCGGCGCCGCTGGGACGGGCCGCCCCAGCCGCCGTCGCGCGACGGCGGCCGCTCGCGGCGGTGCGCCGCGGCGGGCGGCGGCTCGTCGCGGCCGCCGAGCGCGAGGCGCGCGTCGGCCTGGGCCTCGAGGCGGGCCTTGGACCGGCGCTTCGCGCGCGGCGGCGGCGAGTCGTCGTCGTCGCGCGCGAGCGCGCGGCGGACGAGGCCCTCCAACCGGTCGACGGACGCCTGGAGCCGGCGGACGTCCTCCGCGGGCGCGGAGGCCGGCGGCGCGGCGTCGAGGGACGCGCGGCGCGGCGACGTCGCCGGCGTCGACGACAGGGACGCCGCGGAGTCGCGGCCGAAGGGGCTGCCCTGGTAAGGGCTCGGCCGCTTCCGGTCGTCGCCGCCGCCCGGCGCCGGCGAGCCCCCGAGGGGCGGCGGCAGCGCCGCGGGCAGGTGCATCTGGACGGCGCCGTCGGTCTCGGAGAACCGCATGGACATGCGCTGCGAGTTGATGGGCCGCTCGGCCTTCTTGATGGTCTTGGTGCCGATCTGCACCGTCGACCGGCGCGCGACGGCCGTCGTGCCGAGCGCGTAGCCGCGGCGCTTCCGCGTGATGCCCTGGTCGCTCAGGATCTCCTGGGCCGCGACGATGAGGAGCGCCTTGAGGCGGTAGAAGCGCGACGCGCGCGCGACGGCCCGGCGCTCGTCGCCGAACGACGGCTCCGCCAAAATCTGGAAGACGTCGTCGCGCGTGAGGTAGGCGACGGACGCGTAGGAGAGCGCCGCCGCGCAGACGCGGTCGATCAGATTCGCGTCCTCGAGGATGAAGTCGCAGCCCCAGACGCTGCCCTTGGGGAGCACGCGGCCCTTGCGCGCGGCGATGCCCGACTGGATGATGAAGAGGCTGTCGAGCACGTTGATGGGCTCCGCCGGCGCGAACATCATGGAGTCGATGTTGTGGCTGAGCTCGATGACGAAGTCGTAGCTCAGGTCCGACATGTACCAGATGGACTTGAGCCACCGCTCGTTGTTCGTCGCCGCGACCTCGCCCTTCAATTCCGTGGAGAAGAGGTCCTCGATGCGCCCGTAGCCCGCCGTGCGCTGGTGCTCCTTGGAGTTGACGAGGTACATGCGGCACCGGTTCCGCAAACCCAGGGGGAACTTGCGGTCCTCCATCATGTAGTTGAGGTCGTCCATGCGCTGCCGGTAACTCGTCTCCTGCGCGTCCATGGTCTGGACGACGTTGCAGAAGTTGCCGATCATGAAGGCCCAGAAGATGGCGCTGGACACCATGATGAGCACGACGACGATGGTCTCGGAGTGGGTCGTCGCCGTGACGTCGCCGTAGCCGAGGCCGATCATCGTGTAGATGGAGAAGTAGAGCGACGCGGCGTACTTGTGGAACGCGTTGCCCGCCTTGAAGGTCGGCTTCCCCAAATCGTCGACCATGTTTTTCCGCCGCTTCCGGATCCAGGACCACGCGTCCTCGCCGACGAAGGACGGGTTCGCCGCGAGGCCCCACAAACACGCGGACCAGTGCGCGAAGACCGCGAGCATCGCGCTCAGCTTCAGCACGGACAGCGTCGCGTAGGACACGGCGAAGACCGCGTAGGCCTCCCAGCGCGCGAGGATGCGCTTGAGCTTGGCGACGCGCGCCAGCTTGAGCAGCCGCACGAGGCGCAGGGGCTTGAACTGGCTCAGGAACGTCGCCGACGGGATCATCGCGAGCGCGTCGAAGGGCACGCTGGACACGAAGTCGATGAAGAACCAGGTCCGCAGGTAGCGCCGCACGATCATGGGGCTCGACTTGATGAGGATGTTGCCCCGGTTCGGGTCCGGGTACGCCAAAACGAATTGGATGAAGATGTCGCTGATGAAAATGGCGTCGACGAAGCGGTTGACGAAGAAGAGGGCGTCGAAGCGGATCTCCGTGAAGAAGCCCACCTCCACGGGCGTCACGACGGCCGTGAAGACGAGGGCCGTGAACGTCATGAAGTCCCAGCGCCGGTAGTGCTTCGTCGACGGGTCGAGCACCCAGCGGTCGCCGCTGTTCTTGAGGCGCACGCGCACGCGCTCGACCTCGGCGATGAGCTCGGCGCTCGGCTTGAGCGCCCCGCCGTCCGACGGCGCCTGCTCCTCCTTGCCCTCCTCGGACGCCGCGTACTTGTGCTTCGAGGTGACGCCCCAGGGGCTCACGACGACCTTCGCCATCGCTCCGGCGCCGCCGCCTACCGCGCCGCCGGCCGCGCGCCGCGGCGCGCCGCGCCTCCGGGGGCGCGGCCGCCGGGCGCGGCGGCGGCGGGCGCTGCCCCGGGGAGGGCGCTGCCTCTTCTGGCCTAGAAGCCTGCCCAAGCCCAGTCCGCTGAGTCCTATGTGGGCAGCTTCTTCAGATTGGTTACAGCCTCTATTGAGGTCAATGCTATAGCTGTCGATTTACGCCCCGGCCGCGCGCGGCCAGTCGATCAAAGTTGATTCTTTTTCAGGTTGAGGTCTGCCTTCATCGAGGTGCTGCCCTGACGCAGAACTTGACGCAGACTGGCGCCTCGAGATCGCCGCGCGCGGCACGGCGCGCGGGCGCCCGGGGCGTTCCCCCACCCCGCCCCCCGACCCGCCCCGCCCCGGGAGAAGAGCGCGGCGCGACCACGCTCGTGCCCCCCCTAGACGGTCATGATCTCCTTCTCCTTCGCGGCGACGACCTCGTCGACGGACTTGATGAGCTTGTCCGTGAGCTTCTGGATCTCGTTGTTCGCGTCCTTGGCGACGTCCTCGCTGAGGTCCTTGCCCTGCTTCTTGACGTCGGAGTTGGCGCCCTTGCGGATGTTGCGGATGGCGACCTTGGCGTCCTCGCCGACGGCCTTGGCCTGCTTGAGGATCTCCTTGCGGCGGTCCTCGGTGAGCGCGGGGACGTTGAGGCGGATGAGCTCGCCGTCGTTGTTCGGCGCCATGCCCAGGTTCGCGTCGACGATCGCGCTCTCGACGGCGCCGAGCGACGACTTGTCGTAGGGGCTGACGACGAGCTGCGTCCCGGAGGACACGCTCACGGACGCGAGCTGGTTCAGGGGCGTCTCCGCGCCGTAGTAGTCGACGACGACGCGCGCGAGGATGTCCGGCGACGCGCGGCCCGTGCGCAGCGTGCCCAGGTTGTTCCGCAGCGCGCCGATGGACTTGTCCATGCGCTCCTCCGTCTCCAGGAGCAGCACGTCCACGTCGAACTCGTCGCCGTCGTCGCCGGCGAAGCGGCACGTCGGTCGTCGGTGCCGCGGGGCGAGGCGCGCGGGCACGAGGGCCGACGCGGCCCAGATGGCCGCGAGCGACAGCGTCAGCGCGCGAGCCACCATCGTTCAAGATGAGGTCGTCGAGCAGCAAGTTGAAGTGGGCCAGACTTGGCGAACACACGATGGCCGCGGCAAAATTGGCACTTCTCTGCCTCGCGGCGACGCGCGCGTTCCTGCGCCCGGCGCCGCGGCTCGCGCGCCGACCCGCGCCGCTGCGCGCCGCCGCCGACGTCGCGAGCCGCGTCGTCGCGTTCCGCGTGCTCGAGGCGGCGCGCGCGCGGGAGGCGCCCGTGGACGAGCTGCTGCGGCGCCACGGGGCGTCGCTCGGCGAGCGGGACCTGGCCTTCGCGAAGCGGCTCGTCGACACGGCGCAGCGCCGCGCCGGCGACATCGACGCGGAGATCGACGCCGCGTGCCGGAGGAGGCCCAGGGGCGCGACGCTCGCCGCGCTCCGGTTGGGCGTCGCGCAGCTCCTCTTCTGCGACGGCGTGCCGAGCCGCGCGGCCGTGCACTCGAGCGTCGAGGTCTGCAAGGCCTTCCGCGGGTCGCCGGGCCTCGTGAACGGCGTCCTGCGGGGCATCGACCGGCGCCGGGCCGCGGCGCCCGCGGCCGCCGGCGCGGCCGCGGCCGCGCCGTGGCTCCGCGAGGCCCTGGAGCGCGACCACGGCGCCGAGGTCGCGGCCCGGTACCTCGCCGCCGCGGCGACGGCGCCGGAGCGCCTGGACGTGACCTGCGCGACCGCGGGGGACCGCGACGCGTTCGTCGACGCCGTCCGGGCGCTCGACGGCGCGAACGTCGCGGCGCGGCGCGGCGCGCTCGGCGCCGGCGTGCGCACGGCGGCCCGGACGCGCGTCGCCGACCTCCCGCTCTACGACGCCGGCGTCTGGTGGGTGCAGGACGCGGCCGCGGCCGCGGCCGCGGCCGCGCTCGACGCCGCGCTGCCGCGCCGCTGCCGCGTGCTCGACGCGTGCGCCGCGCCGGGCGGCAAGACGCTCCAGCTCGCCGCGCGGGGCCACCGCGTCGTCGCCGTGGACAAGTCGCCGCGCCGCGCCGCGCGGCTCCGCGCGAACCTCGCCCGGTGCGCCGTCGGCGACGTCGCCGTCGACGTCGGCGACGCGGCGGCGCGCTGCGCGGCCGCGGCGGCCGCGGGCGAGCTCTTCGACGGCGTCCTGCTCGACGCGCCCTGCAGCGCGACGGGCACGGCGCGCCGGCGGCCCGACGTCCTCGCGAAGCCGCCGGACGACGTCCCGGGCCTCGTGTCGACGACGGCGACGCTCTTCGCCGCGTGCTGGGCCGCGCTCAAGCCCGGCGGGGTCCTCGTCTTCGCGTCCTGCTCCGCCCTCCGGGCCGAGGCCGAGGACGCCGTCGCCGCGCTCGCGCCGCCGGACGCGGAGCCGCTCCCGCTCACCGCGCGCGACGTCGACGACGACTTCGCCGACGCCGCGTTCGTCGGCGGCCACCTGCGCCTCTGGCCCTGGCACCTCGAGGGCGGCGCCTGCGACGCCCACTTCGTCGCGCGGTTCCGTAAGGCGGGCTAGGAGTCACACGCGGAGCCCGGGGCGAACGCGGGGGGCCTAGTCGCCGACGTCGGGCCGCGCGCGCGCGACGAGCGTCAGGGGCGGCGGCGCGGACCGGGCCGTGCCGATCCGGAGGAACGCGTGCTCGCGCTCGATCATGTCGAGGTGGCGGTCCAGCACGCGCGCGGAGAGGCCCGGCGTGAAGAGGTCGCGGAGCGCGCGGTCGAGGCGCGCGCGGCGCGCCTGAGCGGCGAGCGGGTGCGACGTGCCCAGCTTTGGAGGCTCCTCGCTCGGTCTCATGGCCCCCTCGTTTCGGCCCATTTTGGGACGGGCGACGATCTCTCGGAGCGCGGCCGTCGTGTTCCGGAACGCGCGCGCGCGGAACGCCCGCGTCGAAGGCCCCGTTCCCGCCCCGGCGCCGCGCGGGCTCGAAGCGCGCGCGCTCGCGGTCGAGGCGGCCCATGAGGCCGTGCGCGAGTAACGCGAGGGCCCCGAAGGGCGCGTCGTCGAGGGGCGCGTTCGCGTCGCCCGCGAGGAGCGCGAGGCCTGGGCGGCACAAGAGTGATTCAACGTCGCTTCAACGCGAGTGTTCCGCGCGCGCGCGTTACGGAAAAAACGATCGCTCGTCCAAAAATCAGCCGAAACGAGTGGAACATGGCCGAGATCGGAGCCTTTGAAGTTGGGAATTTCGCTCTCTCGTGCTGCCCCGCGCGAGGCGCTTCATCTCGCTCAGCGTCGCCGCCATCTCGCGCTGGACCTGCTCCGTCGACTTGACGGACTCGGACAGCACGGCGACGACCACGTTCCGCGCGAGCCGCAGGAGCCCGTAGGCGAGGAAGACCGCGGGGAAGAGCGCGAGCACCTGGGCGGGAACGGAGAGATTCGACGTCGCCGAGCGTTCCGCGCGCGCGCGTTCCGGAACCAGCATGCGCGCTTCGAGGCCGCTCCGAGAGATCATCGCCCGTCCAAAAGTCAGCCAAAGCGAGCGGAACGCGGCCGAGATCGGAGCCTTTGGGGACGTTCGCGCTCGCGTCCCGCGCCGGCGCGCGCCTGGATCGTCGCCGTGTTCGCCGCCAGGAGGTCGTCGACCGCGGCCATGGCCGCCTGCGTCTCCTTGGACACGAACTGGACGTGGATGAGGAGCGCGCGGACGATGTTGCCGTTGATCAGGTTGCGCACGCTGTGCCGCACCTCGCCCGCGAGCGTCGCGCCGACCGACGACACGTCGAGGCTCGCCGCGGCCGCCGCGCGGTCGCCGGGCGCCATCTGCGGCTGCGTGTCCTCGAGCCAGGCCTCGAGCATGGTCCGCAGCGTGCGCTCCGCGTCCTCGAGGCCGCGCGGGTCGCTCAGGATGGCCTTTTTTTCGTTGAGGAGCAGGTCGTCCAAAATCTCCCGCGCGGGCGCCACGAGGCGCCGCTCGGCGATGGAGCGCGCCGTCAGCGTCGCGTCCGCGGCGACGCGGAGCGGGCCGCCGCGCCGCGCGAGCGACCGCCGCGCGGCCAGGCCCGCGCGCGCGAAAACGGCGACCGCGAGGATCCGGCCGCAGAGCCGGCGCCGCAGGCGCGCGCGGAGGCCCAGCGTGTCGAGGTCCCGCGACTGGCGCGCGACCTTGGCGCGCGCCGCGGCCGTCAGGCGCGCGGCGACGTCGCGCCGCGCGTCGTCGCGCCGCCGCGCGCGCGC